GTCAAGTCAGCTTCAGGCCCAACCTAGGCTCATAGCAAAGTCAAGACCAGCCAACAAGGTAAAGTCCACTGCCCAAGCCCAATAAATCGGTTTGACCTATTTACATACAAACCGGTTTGACCTGTAACCCAGCTCAAACCGGTTCAACCCAATCCACAACCTACACATATATACAGGGCGGCACGTCGGCACCTATGGGCTCTCAAAGCCACTTGTATTGTGCCACCACAACATTATTTTGGCTATAAAAAGAAACTTAAACTCTTGGAAAAGGGGACAGAAACAAGAACAAAAAAAAACATTTTCTTCTTCTCCCCCAAGCTTCCTGCAAATGACTTCTTTTCTTCTTCTTGATCCTTTTTCTTCTTACGCGACAACTTCTTCCATCCCCTACCTCTTTTTTTGGACACAACCCTTTGTCTTCTTCTTCTTCTTGACACGCCTCCACTTCATGAAACAGAAAGAAGAAGAAAGGGACCATAGACTGACTCTTTCTTCCTCTTAGCACTTCCCTTAACCACAAAAACTCGCACAAACACCACAACACTGAAATACTACCCACCTCTTCTCTGCTTATTCTCTTTTTTATCATCCACAAAAACAACAGTACGGAAGCTCGAAAGAAGGAAGTCGACAATTGGCAGCTGACCAGAAGCAGAAGAACTCGGCATCATCCCCAAACTTCAAAATCTAAAGATTGTTAGCTATACAAGCTCATTTAAGCATCATCATACATCATTATTTCTTTATTCATCTCTACTACAAGCTTTCTACAACATTGTTTTGTAGAAGTATTGAAACTCAATCGACACTCAAACTTGTAATCACTAAAACAGATTTAGCAAGTATAATACACTAAAAATGAACAAATTTCCAAACACTTCTTTGATTTCACATTGTTCTTCAACCTTACTTTAACCAAGTAAATACTTTTCTTTGTTTTAAGTGCAAACCGTTTAGTCTTCTCAACTAAAAACCAATACACGATTACCATCAAACTTCCACTACACAGATTTCCGGGTTCAATAACCATGATACCACAAAATTCCCAAATCAAAACCAACTACCACAGTTTCTCAAATTAGAGTCTCAAACCAGTCCCTCAACACCACAGAACTAGCACCAACAACCGCAATCAAAATATACCAAATATTTCACCCATACACAAATTTCCACATTCAATCACTACAACACACAAAATTTCGGAACCAAACACGCCAATACCACCTGGCCTGTCAATTCGGTTTCGGGTTTTCGGGTTAACCCGAACCCAAATCGATGTGCACAGTGTCGGTTTTTTCGGGTTCAACCCGATATGCAGTGCATCGGTTTTGGTTTACCAAAACCCGCAAAACCGAAAACAACCCGCAAAACCCGAAAGCTGCATCATGCTGTCGTTTTGAATTTTGAGAGCAACCCTAGTCTTCAGCTCTTCACCTCGTGCAGTCGCCGTCTCTTCGTCTTTGGCAAACCTAAACGAAACATAGCCTCCTCGCCGCCAGCGGCCTTGTGAGGACCTCCGACTGCCATCAAATCCGTCGCCGGCGGCCACCATCAACTTCCTTCCATCCTTGGACAGAGAGGAATCCGCTTCACCACCATCAACTTCGCTCTTCGCCTCGCGAAAAGGAGAGGCGACGTCGGGAAACAGAGCATCCCTTCTCAACACCAAATCGGAATCTTCCCCTGTTATTCTGTTCCTCGTCGGCCGTATCTAGGTTTCTGTTCCTAGTGAGTGTTCTTCTATTGTTCCAATTTGTTATTGGGTTGGTAGCTAATTTTTTTGGGTTTTTGTTACTGGATTCCTCTATTCGTCGGCGACCAGATGGCAACTCGCTGATCCACCCATCGACGACGAAGAGATAAAAGCAGACGACAGGCCAAACGCCTTCTCACTCGCTGCCTCAATCTCGGCATCCCTGCTCTCCGCTCTAATCTCCCCGCCACTGACGTTGTCAAACTCGTTGTACGTTTTCATTCCCCTGTTTTACTCCTCCTCGTCTCTCGTTTACATGGGTTCCTCGCAACTGAGTTCTAATCGAGCCAAAAATTTGGACTATAAAAGAGGATAAACTAATTAATTGGGTTCCCGATTCGATCACCATTACAAAAATGGATCCTGGTCGGTTACTATTTTGCATTGCTCTGTTTTCGATTCCATACACAGTGATGGCTTTGTAGTGTTGCAGGTTCGGGAGCTGGAAAGCGATCCCCTGTTCAATTCCGGCCGTGGGTCTGACCTCACATATGGAATCCCAGTAAGCTCCTTTTTCATTCAACTTTGTATTACTCGATGGTTGGAATTACAATTTAGTAATTTACCCTTTGAGAATAATGCTATTAAGTGCTGCTGGGATTAGAGGGTAGTTCATGAATACCCAACAGTTCGTTTGTACATTCTCCTCTGCTTCCCTTCTTGGGTTCTGGGTTCCGGTTTTGCCTTTCTTTGTTGGTTGTTGATTTTGAGGGGTTGCTTGCTGGGTTGCGATACTAAGTTGTGTGAGTGATGATGTGATTTTGTATGAAATCTTGTATACCCTTTTGGAGATAGATGAATGGATCGTTGATTTGTTATGATACATGTATGTATGTTCCTTCTAGTAGCCACAAGTCAATTCCAAAGAAGAAAGAAACACTTTTGGTGCTAAGAAAAGTCTATTTGCTGAAACTGGCGAACGAGCAAAGCCAACAATAATACCTGGGTTGTTGCTGAAACTGCGTTTCGGGTCTGAATGAATGTGCTCTTCAAAAATAATTACACCACTACGACAAGTATTATTTGCTCGTGTTTTCTCTAACAGAGATGCAACAAATGAATGAATCAAATGGCCTTAGTTATGAGGCAGGAATTACAGGGATTATCTATGTTCAAGGTAAAAGGGCCCAATGAAGGGAAGGATGGATGGACGCAAAACAATAATTATTATCTATCTTTGTCGCATCAGCTGGAGAGTGTGCAAGGCTTCAGAAAAAAAAAAGCAAATGTTAACTTGTTTCGTGATTCACCTTTTCATTTTGTATATGTTAATGAATTGAACTCAACTCAATTTTTTATTTTGACAGGGGAAGTGAGGCACCATCGGCTTCTCGTCCTAGACGTGGAGGATGCTCTAAGAGTACCAGCATTCCTGCTTCTACACCGTCTTCCGATCCTACTCCTGCTCCTACACCGTCTACCGGTACCACCAATGTACCTCCTGCTCAAACAATAGACGAGGAGACAATTTCAAGAAAAAGGAAAGAAAAGTCTGACGTTTGGCCACACTTTAAGCGTTTTAAGAAGGATGGAGTGGACAAAGTAAGATGCATTTATTGCAATGGTGTTCTTGTTGCTCCCACTAGATATGGGACTTCTACTATGCGGAATCATAAAGATAGTTGTTTGGAAAAGATAGAAAAGGGTGAGCTGATAGTCGACCATCTATCATCTTCTGGAGGCCAGGTACACACTCTTGGCACTTGGAAATTCGATCAGATTGATGCTAGGAGAGCTTTAGCGGAGATGATTATCATAGATGAATTACCATTTAGGTATGTTGAACATGAAGGGTTCAAACGGTTTATGGCTCGTGTTTGTCCAATGTTTGTGTTACCTAGCCGTCAGACCGTTAGAGAGGATTGTATCAAGGTGTTCTTTGAAAATAGAGAGTTGCTGAAGGACTATTTCAAGACTAAGTGTTTAGGGATGGTATCGCTCACCACAGATACTTGAACTTCTTTGTCCAATCTCAATTCTATGTGCATTACTGCTCATTTCATTGGTAGAGATTGGAAATTGCATAAAAGAATTATTAACTTTGTCCAAGTTACAAAACATTCTGGAAGTGAAATTGGAAAACAGTTGGCTAGTTGTTTGGTGGAGTGGGGCATTAGGAAGGTGTTTTGTATAACAATGGACAATGCTAGTGTCAATGATGTGGTTGCTATCCATATGAAGGAACAGTTGGAAGAGTGGGGATCAGATATTTTGGATGATAAGTATCTGCAGATGAGGTGTGTGGCTAACATTATTAATTTGGCTGCGAAGGACGGGCTTAAAGAAACTGGTAAATCTGTGGAACGAGTGAGAGAGTCTGTGAAGTGGGTTAAATCTACACCAACTAGGAGCAGAAAATTCAAAGATTGCATTGAGTTTGAAAAGATAGTGTCGAAGAAATTTTTTTCGTTGGATGTAGCTACAAGGTGGAACTCAACGTATATGATGTTGGAATCTACAAAGCCATTTGAGAAAGCATTTCAGACATTAGCTAGAAATGATAAGAAATTCAAGAAACATCTCAATGAAAAAAAAAATATGGAAATGAAAGCCTTGGTATCACAACTTCTGATGATTGGTCTAGTGTGGGACGGTTGATTGATTACCTGAAGCTATTATATGATTTGACTGTTCGAGTTTCTGGGACTTCATATGTGACGTTACACCTCTTGTTTGATGAGGTATGTGAAATCTATACTATGATATCTGAGTGGGCTGATGGTATAGATTTTGAGGTGTCTTGCATGGATGAGATAATCAAGTCCAAACTTGCCAAGTATTGGTTTGAAGATGAGTTGGAGAATTCCAAGATGAATCGGTTGTGTTATATGACAGTCATATAAGATCCTAGGCGTAAAGTTGAATATCTTGAACAAGCTTTGAAAAAGGTATATGGTGAGAGCAGGGGTAAAGCTTTGGTCGAAGAGGTGAAAGATGAAATGCGTCTTCTGTTTGACCATTACAAGCATAGGCTCGAAATTCATAGCAGCTCTCCCATTGTGATTCAGGAAGATGAGCAAGAACCTAGTGGAAGTGGGGATGGGAAGAAGAAAGGGAAGATTTGGGGTGATTTCAGGAAAATGAAAAGAGATGTCATTCTGAAAGGAACTAGAAAAAGTTCCAAATCTGAGTTTGATAGGTACCTTGAGGAGGAGGAGGATGATGAAGTGGTTACACAAGCATTGGTGTGTTCAGAAGAGGATGAATACAAGTTTGACATCTTGGGATGGTGGTCGCAAAGTGGGATGGAATATCCTACTATTTCTGAGATGGCTAGGGATATTCTTATTGTTCCTATTTCCACTGTGGCTTCTGAGTCGGCATTCAGCACAGGAGGTCGAGTTTTAGATTCGTTTAGGACCTCCTTATCCCCTGAAGTTGTGGAGGCTTTGATTTGTTGTGAAGATTGGATAAGATCTTCAGACTCCGAGTTGGTGGCTGATGGAGAAGATGAGGGTGACGAAGTGGTATTTCAAAATGGTAAGGACTTAATCTTTCTCTTTATTCTTATATTTGTTATCTTGATCAAGTCATATTCTAACAAGTTGTTATTGTTTATGTTATCTAGTATATGCATCTTTTCAAGCTCGGAGTGCAAGTGCACATGCAGGACCTAGTGGAAGCTCTCGTGCAGGACCTAGTGGAAGCTCTCCTGCTACCCATGTTTTGATCCCGAGTCCTACTATGTCACAAGTGGAAGAAGACTATGTCGACGACAATTCTGATGAGAATGATGAGACTTATGTGGATGTAGAGCCTGATGAGGAGTGATAATAGTAGTAGTGTTTATCTTGTATGGTGGATGAACTTTGATTTTGCTTGGATGTTATCATTTGAGAATTGTAAAACTAATGTGTTTAATTACGAGTTGAAGATAATCTCATTTATGATTGTCGGTATTTTATGTTGAACAAAATTATTTATAATTTTGCTCCAAACACCAAACATTTTTTTGCATATGATAGTTGATATACCTTCAATTTTGGACTTATGGTATTACTAAAGCATTTAATTATACGAAAATCCACAATTAAATAAGATATGATTAAGTTACGTATAAAATATGTTTAAGTATTTTACTTTATCTCTAAACTACTAATACTCTTTAATAGTTAATAGTATGTCTATAGTGATAGAATACATAAAATTAAATATTTTAATAATCAACTAATATTTTAATAATAAAATAAAGGTGGTTACTTCGGCGCACTCACTTTTTTGGGTGCAATGAGTGCACCCAACTCTAAAAGTGTCCATAGTACATTAAATTTTGAATTTTAATTAGTACTCTCGATCTAATATGATGATATGAGATAGAATCATAACAAATCAATCTATTACCCTAACCTCTTAACCTTCAATTTTGAATCCCAACCCAAAATTCCAAATTGTAAACCTAAACCTAAACCCTAACACTAAATCCCCAAATCCTAAATCTTTCAAATTAAAGTAAATTTTGAATGATTTTTTTTCAAATTCATGTGCTTCTTGTTCATAATATCATAAGCAACAATTGATACCGTTTTGACAAGGATCGCATGCTTAGAATGACAATTATGAGGCGGGTGCACTGAGTGCACCCAAAAAAGTGGATGCACTGAATACGCAACCATAAAATAATATATAAATATTAGTTTTATATTGTCCACGTCCAATAAAATTAAACATAATGGTTAAATAAGAATGTACAAATAATAAGAATTAAATTGTTTGTACAAGCAAAAGAATGTAAAATTCAAATCACAAAAGTAAAAAAAAAAAACTCAAAACGGTTCGGTTTCGGGTTCACCCGAACCGAACCAAACCAGCCAGCATAATTTTCGGGTTCTAGTACCCGAAAACCACAAAGTACAGTTTCGGGTTTGGTTTCGGGTTGTATGGCTCGGGTTTGGGTTTTTCGGTTTTTCGCAGGTTTCGGGTTCGATTACCCGAACCAACAGGCCTAAATACCACAACCATTTCCATATTCAATCATCCCAAAATAGAAACAAAAAGCCTTACCTAGAAGAACCCCAGTCGTCGTCTTCGTGGTCTCCCTCGTCGCCAGCGAATCAGGGGGCGGCGGCTCTTTCCCTCTCCCTGCTGTCACTGGAAATACTCGCCGACCAGAACTCCCCCTCGCTTTCTCTGCTCCTCTATCACTCGCCGCTGGAAATCCCTTGCCTCCTGAAACTCTACCAGCGGCTTGCCTTCTCCCTTCTTTTCCTCTCCCCGAGATAAAAAAAACCCAGAATCAACACATGAAAAATAGTTCAATTCAAAATAATTACAAATCCGACATGCAAACAAAAAATCCCCTCTTACCTTGAAGGAAGCGGATCGAGTGAGGGAGAGAGAAGAGTTTTGTTAGTGGTTGTTCATCCTTCAGAGAAAGAGGCAAACGAAAGAGAGGAGAGAAGAGAGTGAATGCGGCTAGGGTTTCATTTTTCTGATCTAAACTTGATTAATATACTCTTTAGCGCAAAATGACTAACATACCCCCCTAATTTTGACTAAATTACTCCATTGCCCTGTCACTTGCTTTGACACAACCATTAAACGACGTCGCATACACAAGAAGAAACACATACTAGTAGTCCTTCCTTTGATTCGAACCTCTAACCTAAATAACATCACAAATTACAACAACACTCTAGACCACTAGACTGGCTGCCTGCTGCTTGTTCACATATTAACACATCAGTTATTGTTAAATCAATTTAAACTTAATACATAACTTACAAATTAATCTATCTCGTGGAAATTTTTCTGACATTAAATGAACTTTATGATACTAACTTCTCTAAAGTATCATTAATTTTTTCTTGAAATTATTATCGATATATACGTACCTTTTTTTTAACAGTCATTAATAAGAGATCTTTGGTCAATAGACCATGACGGTCTCTCAAGTCCAAATTCTTTTCAAAATTGCCAAACAAAATTACAAAATCAAAACACTTCTCCTATGGGAATCTCAATCTTAAGCATGATCAATATAACGTGTTAAAATCACATTAAAACCACTAATTTAATCAAACTACGTGGACTTTGATCCCGACTACTCGGGTACGTAGGCAACCAATAGGTTTGAGTCCAACTAATAAAAAAATCTTTTCTTTACTTTTGAGAATTACATCAATAGGCGTATCATCAAATTGAATATCAACAAATAACAAATTAATTGAATATTATAAATACACAAATAAGGTACAAATTATGATACACCCAATATTTAAATACTTATTGATTTAAGTAGTACCAATTTTGGGCGTTGTGGAGTGTGAATACACTTTCCGACACGTAACCGTACTCCCGAACCCAAATTTCTAAATTTAGCAGACCAGATTTCGATTTCGACCCTAAGGTCGAGACCGAACCAAATGGTGTTCGATCCACCACAACTAAGGTCGATGGCGACTCCGAGCGTATCGCGACGGACTCCCCAATTTCGATGGGCGGTTGCGACAGTTCGGATCATTAAAATACGATTGGTAGGCTCAAGAAACTTCCCGTTATGATGCCCAGAGCCCCCAAGAACGTTGATGGAAATTTTGGCACTATTCATCATTTTTTGCATGAGATGTCCAATCGAGAAACGGTCGATTCCACCATGTTCGTATCCACATTTAGTATCTTTACGAGGGTTTCAAAAATTTGTTAGGTCGATGGCTCTAGTAATAAAATATTTATATCATGCTAAATTCACCAAATTGGGGGTTTAATGAGATTAGGGTTTGGCTTTAACCAAAGAGTATTCACTTGAATTCAATTAGGGTTTGACAAGAGTTGAACCAATCTAAGCCAAGATGATGGATAAGAAAAAAATAGAATAAACTCGACTCATTCACTTAATTTATAATTGCGAAAAGTCGTTATATTAATGTTAGTAATATTTAAATTACTAAAAAGTAATTATATATATATGGTAACTACTTCGGTGAGTGAGTGTGTTTAGTGCACGCAACTCAAAAACTAGTCTTAAGGTGTCATATTTTGAATTTTAATTTGTGGAATTAGTGTAATATGATGATATAACATATGATAATAACTAATTAGCCGATTACCCTAACCCCTAGTCCTCCAATTTTGAGTTCTATCCCTAAACCCCAAATTGTAAACCCTAACCCTAAATCTCTAAAATCTAAATTCTTCAAATTAAAATAAATCTTTGATGGTTTTTGTGCAAATTCATGTGCGTTATTGTTCATCACATCATAAGTGATGATTGGCATCATTTTGACATAAATCGCATGTTAAAATGACAGTTATGAAGTGAGTGCACTGAATGCATCCAAAAAAGTGAGTGCACCGAAAAAGCCACTATATATATATATATATGGCAAAGGCTAGCGTACGCCTGGACGTACCCTAGCCTATCGTACGCCCGTTGAGTTTTCCTATTTAGACAATGAATTAATTAAGGTTTGGGGCATGATACTATACCCTAACCTCTAATGGGTGAACCCCAGTCCGCAATTCACTAACCCAAAGCATAATATTCATTTAATCTTGAAATGAAAATCAACGGTTCTGATTCATCGAAATTATTGTTGATTTTCATTTTAAGATTAAACGAATCTCGTGATTTGAGTTAGAAAACTAAGGACTGGGGTTTATCCATTAGTGGTTAGGGTATAGTATCATGCCCAAAACTTCTGTTAATTCATGATCTTAATAGCAAAACTCAAACGGACGTACGGTAGTCTAACGTACGCCGGGGCGTATACTATACGTCAAGTACTACTAGTGAGATATCTCAAGTACTACTGTACGTCAGGCGTATACTATACGTCAAGTACTACTAGTGAGATATCTCTATCTATACCATGAATTAAATCGAGTTTAGGGTATGATACTATACCCCAACCTCTAATGGATAAACCCCAGGCACCGATTTTCTAAACCCCAAGCCGAAGTTTGATTTAATGAAAAACAAAAATTGACCGTTGAGATCGGCCGGAGCTCATCTAAGTACATCTAATGGTTAGATCACTTGCTGTATACTATACGCCTGACGTACACCAGTCATCACCATATATATATATATATATATATATATATATATGGGTAAGACTCGTGTGCTTTAGACGCATGCCATACTCTAGGCTGCTTATACCATTGATCTAATCAGACGGTCATTATTAATATTGATTAAATGAATTATTAATCTGTAATTAAAGTTACTAACTACACCCCATAAAGTGCTATACGTGTCTACTAGTCCTCCAGTAAATTTAACCACTACTTTGAGTATTAAAGTACTATATTTCCTTTATGCATCATTTAAACACCCAATTGTATAAAACATTGAGAAAAAATCAACAATACACACGACATCATAATCATAAGAACATCGACCCCAAAACCAGTTCAGGATGTTCATCACCGCCAATAACATTATCATGGGAACCCAACTTCCCCCAATCTGATGGCCATCGTCAAAACCCAGACGCCATTAGAAAATTTTGGTTTATATAATTCATTCCATTCATCACCCGACTCACTCGACCTCTCTAACTGTGGCAATCTCTTCCCCTGTCTTTCTCCGTCTTTTCTCCGTCCAGAAATAATGGAAGAAGGCGTATCAAGCGGGGGCCATCATCGTGTCGTTGACGAGAGCGAAGATGAAGATGAAGCAGACCGACCAGTCGATCTTCCGCATGCTGTCATTCTCTCCGACAACCTATTATCTAACTATTTCTGTTTGTTTCTGCGCACCACTTAAGGGATTGGATGCAATCGCGCCCTCCAGAGCTTCAGCCCTTAAGATTGGGCGACCGAAGAAGGGACAGAAGAAAGAGCAGAGGCAGAGTGGATTTTGGTGACCAGCACTCTCGATTCACCAAGGAACACGAAAACCCATCTGCTATGCAACGCAGTTATTTTGTTGTGCCTCGTCCTCTATCTTCCTTTGAAGTTTCTCCGTTCCTATTCTCAAATCCGACCACGAGATTGCAATTGTCGAGACGCGGAGTACTCCCTTC